GGTCGGGCGTGAGAATCGAAAAGTATATCAGAACTTCCTGTATTATCATCTATTAATAACTCCAATCTAGTCTGAGGAAAAATTAGCAAATCAAAGCGCAATAAAGTAGACTAATATTATTCTTGATCGCAAAATTCACAGTGGTGCAGGAAGTTCCTTTTCGAAAGAAGTATATGCACTGCTTCATCCTTTTGAAAAGGTTAGCTGGTATAAAATAATATTGTTCTGGAAAAAGTAAATCTTAAGTGTACACAGCAATCTTTCTTTTGCAAAGGAGCGCGGTTTTTAATATGAACTAATCTTGGTCATGATGTAGCAATTTCAGCATTTTTTTAAAACTTTTTTGAAAGCATTATTGTTAGTCTCTTTATCCTTAGAAGTTTTAAAACAGCAGGACATCCAGATCGAAGGCATTTTTTTTTCTAAAACAGGCATAGTTACCTTGTATAATTATGTTCTTCTAATCATTGTTGTAAGAATACTAAATAATTTTAATTATTTTATTTATAAATTATAATAAATTAGATTTTATTGTAAATTATTAAAATAATTTTATGTGGAATCATTCTCCAACGAGCCTCGTCTCCGGGCCTCTTATGCTGCTTAAGTTAATTGTGGGAGGAGGGGGGAGAGGGAACAGATATTTCCGAGTTGTTCGTTCCCACCTGTTGTATCAAAAATCTTCAACATGAAGACAACAAAGGTGACAATCGCAATTCTGTGGATCATGGCTCTCTTTGCACCTCTTCCTTATGTTGTTGCAGGGCACGACTTTTTCTTCCACTCTGGAAAAGTCTTTTGCAAATGTGATGCGGAATCGTTGCAAGAAGGCTACGGAGCTTACTTGGTTCTCGTTTATATAGCTATTCCCTTAATCATCATTACAATCTGTTATACAAGAGTTTTCATCGCGGTCTGCCGACATAATCTTGTAGTTTTTCGGCAAAGAATTCATCCTTTAAACCTACAACTAAACTTTGGTCCCGATAATCCGAGACTGTCTGACGAGGAGGTTAAAGTGACGAACATCCTGCTCGTTGTGGTGGTAGCTTTTTTAAGCTGCTGGACTCCCGTCTTAGTCATTGATTTGGTCGATTTTATAAACGGAGATTGGAAGCTAAAGCGACCATGACAAAGACTTTATCATAATCCATAGGGTATCGGCGAGTAATGTTTCACAGAGAAAAATGCGTTTTCTTGTCAGTTATCTAGAATATCAGAAAAGATTTGTTTGGTTTATTTTTTTTATTAGCTTCGCCAACATAACATAAAATTAATACATTCAATCATGCAGGGATTCCGCAACAGTGTGAGCCAGTTATTGTGGGCCCAGAAAATTAAAAAATATAAGAATAGTTAAAATACATTATTACATCCACTTTGAAATCACTGGCTATCCGTGCAATCTGATTGGCTCTCAGAGGTGTGATTTATTCCTAAATTGCACCATTTTTTGCTCTAAATCGCATCTGTTCCAAATCGCGTCGTTCATGTTCCAAACCTCATCATTTCTGTTTTAAATCGCACCATTAAGGTTCTATATCCCATCATTTCTGTTTGGAATACAAAATGAGATGTAAAAGCCTTTTTGTTTCGGCTTTTCAACAAACCGGCTACTTGATCAATAAAGTATTAGTACTAACTAAATTCTGCGATTTCAAAATGGAAATAATAAAGTGGTAATTGAACTTCGTGTCGTCCAATTTTGGTCATACTTGTGATTTTAGACCAAATTCGCGCAGCGCGCTCGTTCGATTTTGAATTTCAGACCAAATTGCACTCCACTCAGTTCAATTTTGATTATTAATCACAAAATCAAAAGCAACACGAGATAGGCTGGCGAAACTACGACACTTATTACATTTAAGACAGACAGACTTAAAAGTGCGGGAATTTTCACGGCAGTAATCCTCTACAGTTAGCTTTTTAAAATCATTCAGGGCGTTCAAGGGAACCTCCACTACAACAAAAAGATAACTTTAAATCACAGGAAATAACTGTTACAGTCAAGTCAATCTAAAATATTTTTAAAGAAAGCGTTTGTATCCGAAAGAAATAACTTTTAGATTCGCCTATTTTTGTTTTCAAATTTTGCGGGCGTCGCCATCTTGAATAATTGTGATGAGTTACGGTTGCCCTATTGTTATTAAACAAAAGCTCTTTGTGTCAGAACAATAGAGCAACCGTAACACGTCACAATTATTCAAGATGGCGGCGCCCGCGAAATTTGAAAGTGAAAATAAGCGATTTTAAAATTCACTTTTCCTGATATAAACACTTTTTTTAAGGACAATTTCGAACAAATTTGTTTATCAACATAATTTTATTCGATTTAAACTTATTCTATAGTAATAGTGGAGGTTCCCTTTCACGCATAGGTTCAGTTCATCAGCAACAACGTTCCAGACGAGTATGCATCTGATGATATAGAACTTTTGATAAGTTGGTGTCTGACATTTAGGCTCTACAAAATTAATAACACCAACAACGAGCTTTATTTGCATGACCATACAAATACATACAGTATTGCAAAAGTTATTGTTTAGGAATCAATAATTTAATAATTTGCCACGGCGAACATCAAAACAAGCTGAAATATATTTTATGAATTGTATATTGATAAAGTAATTAGGAGAGTTCATCAGTTCATTGATCAAAATGTTTATAGGTAACTGGGTAATATTTGGGATCAGAGTCTTGACTTTATAGTAAAATTTGTTCTTAATCATAGAGGATGTAGGACATTGAAAAAGAAAGTGAACTTCGTCTTCTGTACATTGCATCCCCAAAAAGGCAATGCCTATTATCCTTCGTAGTTTGATTGTATCTGCCTATTTCTATCATTAGCTTGTGATTCCTTATTCGTAGTTTTACTAAAGCCCCAACACCATTAGATGAAGATGTGGTAGGCCTCGTGATACGAGCTTTAGGAATAAATGATGGCTCTCCCGATACGAGACCATGAATAGTTTTGAAAAAAAAAAAAAACCACCGGCATATCTAGATACTCGTGCCAGAATGTTAATGGAAGCAGATCCAAAGATTTAAATCTGTCCGTGTAAGAAATGGTGCAGGAAAAAGGCAATTATAACATAGCTATAAAATTCGCCTAATCAAATTCAATAGCGCGAGCGTGCTTCATATTCGTATTGAGCACGCTGATGACGTCAATAAACTATTCCTAATTCCTCGAGTTGTTGTGAGCTTAGCAATCCTGAGTCTCCTGAGTGCATCCATAACTCAGCAATAGACAATGAAGCGTTTACCATGTGTTTTATAAGGAAATTTAAGAGGAAACGTTTGAATTTGTTAACCGATAGTAAGGAAAAGAGAGGTGAGTGTTGTTGTTGTTGTTGTCATCTCCGCGAGCTGTGCGGGCTATGGCGTGAGATCATTCTTTGCAAAGTTGTTTTCTCTCAATAACAATTTTTCGGTAAATTAATAGTTTTCCGGCACGTAAATATGGATTTTACAATCATTTTAGAGTACACTTTCTCTCAGTTTCAGGATAAAAACATAAGATTAACTGTGGGGAAAAAAAAATAGTCACGTAAACATTGACGCGTACTGCTTTGAGCACGCCTTACAATAATAAAAGTTTAAGTTAACTGCTGCATTGATCACTTTGATAATGTTATAAAACAATTAGTTCATGCTGCAGCTGTGCGTATGTCGAGATATTGAGCACTTGGGAAGTTTGGAGAGCACTCAAGAGGCTAGAATTGCACTCGGCAACTCTTACGCCTCTTTCGTGCTCTCCAAACTTTCCGCGTGCTCAATGTCTCGACATACGCACGAACTATGGTGGCCGATAACTGCCATTCGTCAAAAGCACATAAATTTGTTAATTTTAGATCGAACTTTAATTATTTTGTATTGGAAATAAAGTGAAAGTACAATGTAAAAACATTTTGTTTTTTATTGAACTGGATTCTTCTTTATTATTATTTTCAAAACAAAACAAAATATTTTTATTCTGAAATGAAAATAAAAATAAAAGTGAATAAAAGCAAAAGTAAAAATAATTTGTTCACGACCGGGAACTGCCATTCAAAACAAAAAAAAGCAAAATTAATTTGTTCACGGCCGGGAACTGCCATTCAAATAAAAAAAAACTAAAATAAATATGTTCATGGCCGGGAACTGCCATTCAAAAAGAAAGAAATGAGACTTTTGGCGGGAGTGCGTCGCTCGCGTTTGTTTACAATCTCGTACCCAGACTCCCCGGATTCTTCGATAATTTGGCGCCCTTTCGCAAAAATCATTAGAGTCAATATGGGGGATCGAGCTGGGGCAAAGTTTCAAGCCCAAATGAAGCAGAAACGAGTGCAGAAAAAGACAAAAGCCGATACAGGATTGGGTGCTGGAGTAATACTTCAACGTGGGGAACTTACAGTACAGCGACTCAGTTCCGAAGTCTCTGGTAAGGCGCAAAAGTTTAGCAGGATTGGAGCCAGGGAATTTGTGCCATTTGCTGACTACGAGGACATAACATTACCAAACATCAAACTTGCTTGTGAGAAGCACTTCTTACCAACAGTTGGCAAAAGCGTCACGTGTGATGTTCTGGCGGGAGAGCAAGGGCCATCCTGTTCAACCCTTGAACAAATTCCTGACCTAAAACTGATCCACATTCGGTTCATTCAGCGACACGAACAAGACCACGAAAGCAACATATTTATCAATCCTGATGGACCGCCCAAGAGAAAAAGGAGACCAGCTTCGAGTGTTCCCATTGCTTCCACCTCTGTCGAAAGCGACAGCACATGGTCACCCAAGCAGATCAAAGTCCTCTGGTTTCTTTATTACACACCATAAAGTAACATCCGACCAGGTGAAATAGGCATTCCATCATGAATACTCGAGACAGCTTTAAGTGTCACCAAAATATGCAATCTGCAACCCCAAACAAAATAACAAGGCATCCCTGCCCCTTCATAATGGGATTTTCCCCCACACCTCCACATAGCCTGCGATATGGAGGGGCATTCTGGACAAAA